CGTGCTCACACGCATACTCCCGGTCTTTCAAAATAAATGAATAGGGACGCCTGGGTGACTCAGTCGGTTAAGCGTCTGACTTCGGCTCAGGTCATGATCTCACAGCTCGTGAGTTCAAGCCCCACATGTCAGCTTGGAGCCTGGAGCCTGCTTCAGATTCTGTCTCCCTCTCTTTTTTTCCCCTTCCCCACTCGTACTCACTCTCTCTCTCAAAAATAAACATTAAAAAGTAAGTAAGTAAATAAATAAATAAACTAAAAAAAAAAAGAAGGATAAATGGTTAAGGACTTCAACCCTGTTGTTCTAACTACTGAAATCGGCACATCAGATGAATATACTGGTGAATGAATGTACTTCTTGTGCAGAAATTGTGTGCCTGAATCTTCTAAGTAATCTGGGAGAGGTTTAGACCATTATGGAATTGAGGTTACTTGCACTAGTCAATCTTAGAGTATAAGGTAGCAGAACAGAAAAAATTATAGTAGATTCTCACAATCACCCTTTTTTTAACTCTTTGGATTTACCATTCTGTAAATTGCAATGACTAATGCACACAGTGTCCTATATACTCATTATAAGCCACTCTGTTTCTGCCCCTTCTGAGTTATATGTTTACAAAGAGTTTGTTGTGTTTTTTCTCAATTATGTAGTTTAATTAAATGTTGCATAAGTCAATGAAATATAAATTGTATACTTTGAGAAGCATCAGTAAGGGGTAAAATGAAACCTACAATATAATCCTTGTCAGGCCAGTGTAAAATCATAAAAGTACTGGTTGGCACCATCCCCAAACTGTGCAATGCAGTATACTTGTATTCCAGTATCAGAGGTAGATTCGAAATACCCAGCAACTTAAACAATAAATATTTGTATTCTGCATTATTCTTTAAGACCATTACATATTTGTGGAATCAATCCTACCAGCTAGCTTTTTTCCTGAAATCTGGTTTCCCTCTACGCCCCCTAACTGGGTCCTTGGGCCTGGAGAACAAGCATGTCTAGCCAGACAGACCTTAGACCGACCCCTCATACTGACATCTTAACCTTCCCCTTGACCAATTCATCTCTGAAATGATTTGTGTCCATTTATTTAGATTTGAATCTGGCCTGCTGGTTGGTAAGCCGGGTAATTTTATTCTCCTTACCCTATCCCATGCTGAATTTCCTTTGAATGCTTTGTGGAAAATGAATGGCATTGTTTATTTAATCTAGTACCTTCAGGGCTATTGTTTTTTTCTAGCTAAGGAAGGAAGTCAACATATTCTTAAACATCTCATAAAATTGCATGGCAAAATATCACTTGTTTTTTTAGGACAGAACCATAAAAAAATATTAGGAAATATAAAATAAATATTGTTGCCAAAATTAAAGGGAAAGAGAGCTGTCATTTGACAACAGCATTCCCTACCATGACCACCACCACCACCATTGCACTCTCAGTGTGGATTGGGTCTCATGTTTGTACAAAACAAAAGGTCATGAAGATGGCATATGGGCCAATTTGAGAAACTATCATAGGAAAGTTTTCTCTTCAAAGAAGTTATTAGAATCAGGAGATAGTTTCATAGATAGGTGCTTATTTTCTTTGTTTACAAATACTACTGTTATAGAAATAGTGAATTGGAGACTCTAAACAATCTCATTGTATCCTTCTCCAGATAATTATAATATAGTTTTGTGGAATATCTCAATTTTTATATCTTACAAAAATGATACTGAACAGCAGAAAACCTTATTTCTCATCCCTTCTACTCATCTTGCTGTATGACCTCGGGGAAATCCATTTTTTTTTGTAGGGTCTCGCAAATACACAGTGAAGACATGCAGCATTCACCTTACCACCCAAGACCAGCTAGACTACAAAGCTCCATTTTTGCAGTTCCTATCTAAAGCCCTGATAGAATGTAAGCAGAATAAGGTGCTACTGCCCTCTGCTGGTCCTAAGAACACACCTGCCCATCAGTGCATTGGCCCTCCCATCCTAACAGTGAGGGACACAGTGGCCCTTGCCTGTGGTTGGAAAGACATTGCAGGAAACCATAAGGAAGGAGGAAGGTTTCATATTTGGAAAAATAATAATAGTTGAAGTATTTGGGAATTAATGATTTATTATGCATATATCAGATGCCATAGCCATGTGTGACTGCCTTGCCACCAAAAAGTATCCTATAATCACTTCCCCCCCGCTACAGTGTCTCACCTGGGAAACAGTTGTGGGTGCTGATACTTTGAGCCACTGTCACTCTATCTTGGAATATATACAGGCCACTTTTGTATGGAAGATTTAGGAGAGTTTTTGCATATTCATTTTTAGTTTATGAATAAATAGGAAGATAATAAGTCATATGTGCCAAGGAAAGTGAATATGCAGCATCAGTAAGAAAAGTTCTGAAAAGGAAAGTCAGGGCTTCATTATGCTCTCAGATCCCTAAGGAACTCTGTCAAGTTGTAATAAGAGATCTAAAGTTAATAATAGCTTTTTTGGTTAGTTGATGATCCTAAAAGTACTTTATGTGAGAAACTGATAAGGATTTGCTAAGAGCTCTGTTTTTCTGAGCTCATCTATATTAATTTCGGAACTCTAAAATTTAAAAATTTTAAGAGCTGCTGTTTATTACCTTGCACTTGTAAGAAATGGTGCTGCTTCTGACTATACTTACAGGAGAGGCAACTGAGAATTATGCTTTTATCTTGTTTGAATTTCATGCCTTTAAAATCTTTCTTTTTTTTTTTTAATGTTTATTTATTTTTGAGACAGAGGCAGAGCGTGAGCGGGGGAGGGGCAGAGAGAGAGGGAGACACAGAATCCGAAGCAGGCTCCAGGTTCTGAGCTGTTAGCACAGAGCCTGACAAGGGGCTTGAACTCACAAACCATGAGATCATGACCTGAGCTGAAGTCAGATCCTTAACTGACTGAGCCACCCAGGCACCCCTAAAATCCCTTTCAAAATAGGTCTGTGCACTGCTACTGACATCATTATTAGTCCTTAGAGTGCTGCAGAGCAAAAAAAAAAAAAAAAGTGCAACCTACATCCCAAGTATCTACAAGCAGAGTATAGGAGGAACGTGGGATTCACATTGTCTGTGACTTCTGCTTACGTACTCGCAGAACCACACACATTTTGCCCATGATTCCCCAATGGTAGATGGTAACTGTGTTTTAAAGGAGTATATCGGCATTATGAAGATCAACAGTGATCCTCATGCAGCTTCCCTCTGGGGGAGTTCTGGAGAACTCTTGATTTTTGTTTTACAGCCAATCTCAACTTATACTCACCTGTTTGGGAGTTATAGTCAATCATCTCAGCAGCAGTACATAGTCCTAGCTTGAAAGGGACTTACACATGTGATACAGAAATACATAGACTCTCATAGGCAAAATCACAGCCATCCCGCTTCCAACTAAATAGGTACTACATTTCGTGGTATGCATGGTGCCTATTCCAGTTCTAGGTTTAGTCTGCTCTAGACCAAGAAGGAAATTAGCATGTATTAGAATATCATTTTTACCAGGTATCTTATTCATCTGTTATACATCCTAAGAAATGAACCAACTTTTGCTACATAACTCTTATATATATAACCTTAATAGTAATCTTCACTGTCCAACATTCCAAAAGAGGAGAAGTAATCTTATTAAATTGCTTTAAAAACCTTATCAGAAACCTTAGTCCTACTCATTGAAAACAGATGAACTCAATTCCAAAAAATAAAATGAACAAAAATTGTCTATTGAGAACATTACCTGCTGTTTGCTGAGAAATTATCGATTAAAAAATTTTTGAAATACCTTTAACCTTTAGAGATGAAAGCCAGTAGCTATGGAAAGATTATTTAAATCATTAACTGGAACTGACAATATGAATCACATGTGAAAGTAAAAATACAATGTTAATTAAAATCATATCAGATCCTTCAAGTCAGAATATTACTTTGGGAAACAAAACCCTGAAGTACAGGAAAAAAACAGCAGTGCTAATTAGTACTTAACTTCTTTTATGATGATGTTTTTTGCAAGACAGTTTGGTATACAAAAAAGAGCAGGGGCTTTGGAACCAAACAAACTTTGGGCTTGAAAATCGTTTTTACTACTTATGTAATTTGTTATTTGGCTTTAGGCAATCACTTAAACCTCCCTGAACTTCTGTTTCCTCTTCCTTAAATTGGCAATAATAAGGTGCATCTTATATTTAGTATTAAGTGAGATATGTAAATATTTATGAAGTGCCTCAAGTGCCTGCAGAGTTAGTTTTCCTTCCTTCTATTGTAAATCACAGAGTAAGGTTTACTCTTACTTTGAAGCCCAGCAGGAAGTCCTGGAAAGGAAGGTTTGGTTTGAGATTACCTTCCCTTGACCAGTCTTGGTTACCAGAAAATGCCATTGAAGTGCAGGACATTCTGCTAGGGAGTATGTGAGGCAGGCAGCAGTCTTGGTGGGGAGGTAATGGGCTAGAGTGACCAGTAGGGAGGGTGTAATTCTTCTTGAGTCCCAAATGCATGACACGCCCTCATTCTGCGTGTAAGGCCACACTGCGGGTTCACTCACATTTTAATTAGTGCCTCCCCCCCAGCAAAATGTACTCTAAAACCAAGTAGAAAAAAATTTCAATTATCTGAAGCTTTGTTTAGGTTACGATGGATTTCATTCACATATCCTAATTGTAATAAGAGCTACCAACTCCAAAGTGCCAGGTACTTTTCATACATTCTCTAATTCATATAATAACTTCGATTTCTAGCTGATGCTAAAATGTCTGTGAAGAGACTGAGACCCTAAAGGATTTCATAGGAAGCCCAAAGTTGCCAGCTATAAAATTAATATGTTTAAAAAAAGAAAGGAGAAAAATGAATAGGTTGCTGATTGCTAAGCTTGTACTGCCATAAGGTATTGTTTAGGTAAACACTTTGATAACATCTATGATCAACCATGACCCCTGTAATTTTCTGAACCTTCATGACTTGGTCAGCCCTGTGATGATATGTATTGTGTGTTCTCACAGAAACTGGCCCCTGGAGTCAGCCAGTTTGCTTACACCTGTGTGCAGGACCACCCCATTTGGACGAATCAGCAATTTTGGGAGACAACCTTCTACAGTGCAGTGCAGGAACAGGTTCGCTCTCTGTATCTCTCAGCCAAGGAAGACAATCATGCCCCATATCTGAAGCAAAAGGTAAGAGAAGAAACGTGCTGGTGTGGGACTGGGATCTGGCTTCAAGGAAAGCTTATTCATATATCCCCAGGGCAAAAGGAAACCCAAGCACTTTCTACCAGTACATTTAAGTTTCATTTTAGGGAATCCTGTCGTGACCGTCTTTACTGTGTGGATTTCTGATATTACATTTTTCCATAATAACTTCTTAATATAGTTCTTTAGCATTAGAATTGTTTTATTATATTTTAATAAATAAGAATCCTTTTGAAACAATTATAGGAAGTTGAACAGAGAAAAGAAAATGAAAAGACCTGGGCAGATGTCTTTGTGCAATTAACTTTTTGAAGAAATGTCAAATTAAAGTCAAATGACTCTAAAATAAATGTAAAATTCAATAGTTCTTCTCAAAAGTATGTCAGCAATAAGTCTAGTTCTCCTTTTAGGAATATTCTATATGTTTCTACATATTTTATCAGCATCAATTATACTTCCGAAAAATATCAGAATATTTTAAAACAAGAAAATTGTTTTTAATTTGAAAAAGGAGTTTAAATTTTCTGAAATTTTAAAGTGTCATTCACTAAGTGTCTGGTCTTAGGCAATCACTTTACTTCTCTGTGCCTTATTTCCACATTGGTAAAATGAGTAGATAGAATTTTTGTAAGACTTTGATGTATAATACAAGTAAAGGGCACTCAAAAGTGCCTGACACATAGTAAATAATAAATGTTAGAAATTACCAACCTTATTAATTGAACTTAAACCAGGATTAAAGGCTGATTGTCAATGTTGATTCACTTTAAGAGTAATATTTTAATTTTTTTTTTTTATTAAGAGTAATTTTTAATTCTACATGCTGGGCTAATACATTACTGATGATCCTTCCCATCACCCTCCATTTTACTTCATTTTTTTTAAATTTCAGTGTAATTAACATACATTGTTATATTATTTTCAGGTGTACAATATAGTGATTCAGTAATTCTATATACATTACTCAGTGTTCATCACATTAAGTGTACTCTTAATCTCCTTCACCTATTTCACCCATTCCCCCACTCACCTTTCCTCTGGAACCACCACATTGTTCTCTATAGTTAAAGCCTATTTTTTTTGTCTCTTTTTTTCTTTGTTCATTTGTTTTGTTTCTTAAATTACACATATAAGTGAAATCATATGGTATTTGTCTTTCTCTGACTGACTCATTTCACTTAGCATTTATACCCTCTAGATACATCCATGTTGTTGCAAATGGCAAGATTTCATTCTTTTTTATGGTTGAATAATAT